GGGAGGGAGGGGAGAGGAAGGAAAGAAGGAAGGAAGGAAGGAAGGTAGGTTGGTTGTCAGTTCAAGAAAAGATTCTTCGAATTGAATTCTAGAAGGACTGCATCATCCTAAATTAAGAAGAACTGAGCGGGTAACATTATTCCCAGATACATTTGCAGAAGCGTAGATATTCATGGAATTCTCAATAAGTCAAAGCGAAAGAAATCCACTAAGTAAGCCTAAAAATGTCCATTCATTTCCCACCTTTGTGTGTGTGTGTGTGTGTGATGACACCTCATTATGTAGACCAGGCTGGCCTTGAACTCACAGAGATCCACCTGCTTCTGTCTTAGAGTGCTGGGATTAAAGGTGTATGCATCACATGCCTTCACTTAAAAAAAATCACTTTAGAGTTTCACAGTTTCATTAGAGAGGAAACACATACGAGGTGTCATTATGTAAAAAGCAGGGATATGAATCCAGGGTTACTGAACCCCTGGTGCTTCCCAGGTTACATCAATTGGGGGGGGGTGAGCAGCCATTCGGTTTCTTCAAAGACAAGCAGAAAAGCTTGAGTGAGAGGTACATAAAATACTGATCCAAATTTCTAGCAGTTTATAAACTTCGTTTTAATTGGTAAAATCTGCTGGTAGGGAATTTAATAATGTTCAAAGTCTTCTTTTTTTTATTGTTCTGATTTACCTTTTTAAAAGAATGGGAATGGCACTGCCCTTTAAAGTGAAATTATATGGATAGGTACAACCTAGTTGTCTCAATATTTCTGCAAATGATACATGGTAACTACAAACTCACCTTCAAAATCTCTTCAACACAATGGACTTCATTGGAGTAGGTCTGCTGAAAATGAAAAGAAGGGAAAGCTTAATTAAAACAAACTCCACAACAGTAACAGTAGGAGTGAGAATGACTGTAGGTACAGGTGTTGATGAGAACAGGCGGGTTCACTTCTGGACCTACGTTTTACTATCTGAGGACCAGCAACTTTGCACATTGGATGAATGAGACCAGAGATTCATCTGACTTCATTTTGGGGGAAAGTATGAGAAAACAGTAACCTGGACATTAGGTTGAAAATGACCCGTGGATATTTTGTATGTCAAACAAACAGTGAGGGCTTGGGGACATAGCTCAGCAACAGAGAGCACTTGTCTAGCATGTGTGAACTCTGCTGAAGAATGAAGGGAGAAGGGTAAGAGAAGAATGAGTGGGGGAAGGGGGAAGAGAAGTGAAGGAAGGGAAGAGACAGGGAGGGAGGAAGGGAGGGAGGGATACATTAGTATACCTAGGAGGATACCAGATGTAGCAAAAACAGAGGGAAAAGAGAAAAACAGGTACCACAGTCTGCTACTTCTAACAATATCCGATGATGAGCCAAGTTAAAAGAACACAGTGATCATTTGAACACTAGTGTGTTCACAGGAAGGAAGCCAAACAAAGTCCAATCAAGGATGCCTCCTCTTTGTTATTTTTAAAAACTCATTTTAAAGTAAAAAAAAAGTCTCTTAACAGGCAACCTACAGAAAAGGAAAAAAATCTTTACCACCTATCTCTCTGACAGAGGGTTAATATCTAAAATATACAAAGAACTCAAAAACATGTCAAAACAACAATAACAACAAACAACTGCAGGAGAGGAAGTGCCAGGCTTAAGCACAGGCTGCACTAGAGAACACAGCTTCCGCTTTGAAAGCGCAGCCCGTGCTTCTGCAAAATAGCCAACCTACAATCTGCCCGGATGAGGATATCTATCAGGAAGCGACATACCAACTTATGGGACACTAGGGGCAGGGGGAGAGGTATATAAGGCTTGCACTTCCCAGTAATAAACAAGTCTGCAGCACCTCACCTAGTGCCTGCTCTCACCAGACTCCCGGTGTCTGTGTGTTGACTCTGCGCCTCTCACCCCCACCTTGGCCAGAACCCTCGTTCCCTGCAGTCCCTCGTGGGCTGGACCCACGAGGAAACCTGCAACAAACAACCCAATTTTTAAAGAATGGGCTAGGAGCTGAACTGGGAATCCTCAAAAGATGAAATGCAAAGGGCTAAGAAATATTTAAGAAAATGTTCAACATCTTTAGTCATCAGGGAAATGCAAATTAAAACCACTTTGAGATTTCATCTTACCACATTCAGAATGGCTAAGATCCAAAAAGCAAACAAGGATCAATGCTGGCAAGGAAGTGGAGAAAGGGGAACTTTTACCCACTGCTGATGGAGTGCTAAGTGGTGTAGCCACTATGGAAATCAGTGTGGAGATGCCTCAAAAAGCTAGAAACTGGGGCTGGAGAGATGGCTCAGCGGTTAAGAGCACTGACTGCTCTTGCAGAATACCCGGCTTTGATTCCCAGCACCCACATGGCAGCTAACAAACAACTGTCTGTAACTCCAGTCCCAGGGGATCAGACACCCTCTTTTGACCTCTGTGGGCACTGCATGACATGGGTGCACTTACACACATGCAGGCAATATACTCATACACATAAAATAATAAAATTTAAAAAGCTAGAAACTCTATATCCTAAAACACAGATATCTGTTCATCCACGTTCATTGCTTCCCTTTTTACAATAGCCAGGACATGGAAACAACCTAGGTGTCCATCAACTGATGAATGGATAATAAAAGCATGGTACATTTATATAATGAAATATTATTCAGCTGTCAAAAATGAAATTATGAAATTCACATGTAAATGGATGGAACTGGAAACAACCAGTCAGTGAGGTAACCCGGACCCAGAAAGACAAACATCATGTATCTCTCATAGCTGAATGTTAGCTTTGAATAGCAGACTTCCACTTTTTGAAGCTGTCAATCAGAGTTCCCAAAGACCTTCCAACAATACTGACCACTGCCTCTGCTCTATACCATAAGACCCTATTGCTGAAGACACTAGAAAAAAACAAAGCAATACCAAGCTAGTACTGACTTCAAAGCTTCATCTCTACTGGCTGGCCTTCATAATGTTGGAAGATGCTATGCATGCTACCAGAAGAAAGAACTAATCATTAACCTTACCCAGCTGTGACTCCTGCATGCTCAACAACTGCTCTGGCAAGATATTAACCTCTGGTTCAATGAATATTATGAATATTATGGGAGTAACCAACCACTTTCTAATCGGATTTAAGGTTTACTTCTTAAGACAGAGCCTGATATCATGCCTAGGTATCTGTGGCTAGACAGGTCACAGGTCATAGGGGAAAGCCTAATACTATCATTCTGCTAAATAGGCACAATATTAAAGTGACTCCTGATGACTTACTGTTCTACCCATAGATTAAGGCATCTCTCAACTCTCGCCTCAGAAGCTTCCTTATGCAGCAGATTGTGATTAACACAGAAAGTGAAAACTGTTCAATGTGCAGAGAATAAGAGGCTGTAGAGCAGTTACCCCTGAATAGGACACCCATGTCAAACTTTTGCCTCCCAAGACACAGAGATCACTGCAGAAGATGGGGGCAGAAAGACTGTAAGAGCCAGAGGTGGTGGATGACCACAGGGAAACAAGTTTTCCAGACAGCTGGTCAGTTACTCATATGAACTCACAGGATGTGACAGCATGAGCAAGTCCCAGATAAACTCAAGCCGAACAAAATCCCAGCACAGACGTGGAGAAGTGGGTAAGAAAACCCAACCCTACCTGAGGAAGTATTGGCAACCAATGGCTGCTTGGAAGAGAGTCAGTCTCCTTTTAGGGTGAGACTCTTTGTAGGTTAACCAGGCTCCACACCAAAAGACATTTGGGGGGACACAAACTTGACTGGTAGGCCGGGCATGATGGCGCATGCCTTTAATCCCAGCCCTTGAGAAGCAGAGGCAGGTGGATTTTTGTGAGCTCAAGGCCAGCCTGGCTACATAGTGAGTTCCAGGACAGCTGGGGCTACAAGGAGACCCTGTCTCAAAAAGACAAACAAACAAACAAACAAAAAACAACTCATGCACACACATAAATAAAAAAGAGTACATGAAATTGGGCAGGAAGTAACAAAGGAGGTTGCAAATAGGGGAGGGAATTTAAAAACAATCAAAACACATTGTATAAAATTCTCAAAAATTCAATTTAAAAAGGAAAGAAAAAAGAGTCTCTTACTTCCATTGGAAATTTTTCCTTCTACAAGAATGCACATACCCACATGCATACATATCTGTATGTGCATAAACGACAACATGGAGGTGGGGAGATGAGCGACCTCAATCAAAGCTCTACTATGTCACCCCCTCCACGTCCAGCTTAACAAAAAGTGGCAGAGCAGCAGCAGAGCTGCCAGTATCACCACTGTACAGAGTTCAGGAAATGCCAGTCTACAACCATTTTAATTACAAAGAAAATAGAAAAAGTCAATCTAAAACATTCTTTCTGCACTATAGACCTGGAATACATCCTACTACTCTACAGCTTTCAATGGAATGGCAACTTCTGTTCTGTGTCAATCCTCAGCCACGCAGCATGGACTATGTACAGCAGGTGCCATGCAGTGCACAACTTAGCCATTGACAGTGTCACGATGAAGACGCTCTCCTTCCTTCTGGTCAGCTAGTAGGTAGATGCAAAAGAGTCTCTCCCCCACAACTGAAAAGTGTGATGTAATGAAACACTGGTTGCTAATTCACCATTGAAGTTTTATCAACTCACCATTTTTGTCTCGTTCCAATTTAAAGAATAATGAAAACAAGATGTTAAGTGCAATCTGACCACCCTAGGTATATGTTCAAAACATATAAATTAGCCTGAAAATGACTTTATAGACACTTTTGGAGCTTGTTATTTCTGAAGCAGGGCCAGGAAGTTCAGAGGTATAACCAAAAAGAACCAAGGCTATCCTTGCTCCACTGTACCCATCAACCCCATCCTCAGATGCTCCACATATCAACAACTAGTTTTCCCTTTTCAAAACCATTAACAGATTTCAAAAACTATATCAAACATTAGTGCCACGTCTTAGCACAAATGTCAGACACAAAAACGAATGCTGCTTTCATCTAAAAGCAAATATAGCTATATGTCAGGATTTCAATCTTTTCATGCATTGTTAGAAAAAGTAGCAATTAGAAGTTGAAAACACAGAACAGAGACCATGACTGCACTGGCTCTGGACAACAGTCCCCTCCTCCTCCCTGGAGTTGGAATAAGGCGTCCAGTCCCCTCCATTCCCTGGAGCTGGGATTTTGGGTAGTGCAGGGGTGGAGGGTTCCAGACAAAGCACCTGGCAATCAATGAAAATGGTGAAGCACACTACGATAAGGACCAGCAAGTTTACCCACTGTTTCCCAAAGACCAAATGAGATCAGATAGCTACTCTCTAAGATCTATTTTCCTTAGAAATAATTTCATACTTAGATTTAAAAACTGATTAAAATCCTAAAATGACAACCTTGTTATTCTGCCTTCCCAATGACAGCGTCTGGTTTTCTTTCCTAACCTCACCCATACACCATGAACTGCTTCAGAGCAGGTTACAAAGTTAGAGCACATATCCTTTCTCCCTAATCCTATGTGCACCAGACTTTGAACCTTTGAACCTATATATAAAAGAAAGTGCTGAGGGGCTGGGGATGTGGCTCAGTGGTAGAGCATTCGCCTACCAAACATAAGGATCAGGGTTCAATTCCCCAGTACGATAACAAAAAGGGGCTGATGGCAGAGGTAAAGGCACTTGCTGCCAAGTTGGATGACCCTGTGTTCCATCCTCGAAATCTATATAGTGGAAGGAGAGACTCCCACAAGTTGTTCTCTGACCTCTACATGTGCACCATAGTACACACATGCATGTACACACACGCACACACACACACACTCACACACCTGAATAAGTGTAAACACATTAAATACAGAA